ACAGTTTTCTCTTAAGTTCTCTTCCAGTGTTTTGTACTTTAAGACCATTTCAGTTTCTAGCCGTAGGGTGAACCCTCGGGGTAAAGATTTCTGACAGTATTCCTCTCTTATTAACACTCTCATTTCCACAGTTTTAGTTACCTGCAATCTGCCAGGTTCTGCTCTCTACCATGTGTTAAAAATAGCAAATGAAAAATCTCAGAAATAAACAACTCATAAATTTTACATTGCATACCATTTTGAGCAGTGTGATGAAATCTTGTCCTTCAGAGGATGAGAATCATCCTTCTGTCCAGCTGCTTCATGCTGTCTACACCACCTGCCTCTTGAGTCATTTAGCAGCAGTCTAGATGATCGATCAACTGTGGTGGATTCACAGCGCTTGTTTTCAAGTCACTCTTTTCTTAATAATGCCCCCAACGACATGGAGCAGTGATGCTGGCCATTTAGATATGCCGAAGAGAGGCTATAAATTGCTTACTCTGAGTAAATGGGTAAAAATTCTTGACTTAATAAGGAGAGAAAAAGCCTTATATGCTCAGTTTGCTAAGACCTATAGTAAGAAAACCTTCATCTTTGAAATCATGAAGAAAGAAACAAATCGTGCAAGTTTTGCCGTCACACCTCAAACTGAAAAAGTTATAACCACAGTATGTTGTTTTAAGTATTCCATTTTATTATGTTATTATTGTTAATCTCTTGCTGGGTCTAATTTATAAATTCAACTTTATCATGGGTATCTAAGTATGGGATAAAATACAGTATATATAGGGCTCAGGACTGTCTGCCGTTTCAGACACCCACTGGGGGTCTTGGAAAGTGTCTCCCACAGGTAAGGGGGAACTGCATCCTTACCCACTACTCAGACTGATGCACACCATCTTCTGGTTTGCTCTGACCTGATGTATGTACAACTCCTAAAGTACCTGGCACATGTAAAGCCCTACCTGTTCTTTCTGGATTGGGGAATGCTACAACTATAGATGTTTCTCCTCCTACATCTCTTAGTGCCCTTCACAACATTAGCTATCTTCTTTTTATAAACTTTAATCAAAGCAGAAATATTCCAATATGCTATCCTTGGCTCCCTTTCTGTCATTCAGGAAAAAACAATCGATGACTCTTAGAGCTCTGTGGCAGTTTTTATTTGTAATATGTCGGTGATATGCCAGTCTTTCACGGAAAGAACACTGAGGTCCGGAGAAGCACCTCCATGCCTGTCATCCCCACAGCAATTTGACAGCTGAACAAAACACAGCTGCACTAGCTGTGTTATTTCTGTTGCTAAACACCTTTCAAAAGTCCTCAACATAATTTTTCATTTTTAGAAACCCCCACTTTAGACTTCAAATGACCTGATTTTTTGAGGATTTTTAATGTATGATACATTTATCAAACTTAACTGTATACCCCTTAAGGAGATGGTCAGTTGCTGTTCATGTTTGCAGCTCACATGACAGCAGGTGCTGTGTCTTGAACACAGAATGTTTTGCACTTGAGGCATTCTATCTCTACGAATGGAATGGAAACCCTTCCCTTTAAAGGCTTATAGGTACATGGAGACAAGTGGGGAAAATCAGTTCTGCTTAGCAGTTTTATGACGGCAGAAAGGACACGGATAGTTACTTCTCGCGGCTGTAATCATGCCGAATTCCTGGAACGGGGTGTCAGAATGAATTGCTCCAAGCTCTTCTCCCTGGTAGGATATCATCTGACCTCTCATGGAGCTCTCTTCATATAATTTTCAGTGAGAGTCACTGATTGTGTTTTGATTTCTGCAGCTTCTCCCAGAACGACTCCAGGTCTGCTGTCCTGAAACACAGACACAAACAAATCACAGCTTTGACCACCTGGCACCCTGCAGAGAGATTCTGCAACCAGAAGGTTTCCCGTTCCCTCTTCTCTCCACGTGGCAGGCCGCAGGTACAGTAAATGCCTCTGGGAGCTCACTCATCCGTTACCCCATCAGCCCCAAGTCTGAAGGTAAAAGCCATGCAGCACTCCTGGGCACAGCATCCTCCACCCCCTGGCTTCATCTTCCCACCCTCCCATTCCCGCCAGATCATTCTGTTGCAACACTGGGTATGTTATAACTGGTCCTGGGGGTCAGGGGCTTCTGACATATGTTCTAACCTGCCCTGGGGACAAAGCATTCCCTGCCTTGAACAGCAGAAAGGCCTGAAGCTTCGAATCATGCAAATAAAAATTTGCTCTTTATCTTTCTTCTTTCTCTCTTTCCTTCCTTCCTTTCAAAAGCCTTTTTTATTTGTTGTTTGTTTGAAAAGACTAGTTGATGAGGGAAATAGGAAGAAACTTAAGGGTCTTGAACAGTGGAGAATGATGATAGTGGAGGAAAGGCTCCCTGATGGGGAGTGGAATCCAGCATCTTATATATGTGAGTAAGCCAAACCACACATTGTGTTAAACAATAGTGTCAACGCTATTGTTAAAATTAGGTGCTGGGAACTGACGTAAACAGAAGTAACTGATCACATATTATTTTGTTCATAATGCAGATATATTCACGGCCCACATGCAATGACCAATATCCTATGGAACAGTATTAGTCATGCATTTGGACATGTGTTGCATTTGGCTCTAAATATTGGCTTCATTGAAATGAGTGAACTGCTCCTTTGTGTTAAGCATGTAGTGTCCTGCTCTTTAGCAAGGTCAGCTCCCTACACATATCCCCACACACTCACAGATGCACACCCCACACAAACACACACCATGCTCACACTCTCACATATGAACACACTCCACACATGTGTATACACAACACTCACACTCACAAGCAACCACTATCGAATTCTGTTTTTGTTTTTAACTCACTTAGTCTTGGTTGTATAAAATTAAGGAAGGTAGCTAAAATCATATTTTTCTCCTGTTTCAGCTTTTTTACTTTCTTCTTCTAGGATCTATACTGACATAAGATCTAGGAGTTGGAAATGTCTTCATTCCTTCATCATAGACATTTGAGGCAATAGAGCGTTTTGCCCCCTCTTTGAAAACCTTGTGAGGTGCAGTCTGGTTATTTACATGGAACACAATGCTCTGGCTCATGTTCTGATTCAAAAGTACTTGGTTATTTTCTTAGGTCATTTTCATTTGTCTCATTCTTACCTATTTCAGTTTTTCAAAATATATTTTTAAAAGGATGATTGTAAGCTAATTTAGCACTATAGTAATTAATATATAATATCTATAATGCATTTAAGGGAAATAATAGATGTTGGTCAAGATAAACTTGTCTGCCAAATTAACATTTTTAATTTCCAGCGAGTTATTGCAAAAGTTGCTGTACATTGAATTTTATATTTAAGTATTGTCTCTTGACCCGTGATTCAAAGCCGTAGCTATCATAGGAAAATCTTTCACCTATCAGAGAAGGCAAAAGTAGCTGACTTTTATCAAGCTTGTGGGGAGTTAATATTTGATGCTCATGTGTTGTTTTTTCTCCTTCTAAACCAAGGTGTGATAAATTTAAGTTTCAGCACAGACCAACACAAAAATTGGTTTTTATTTTCTCCCTTTAGGAGTTTACTCATCTTTTAGGCCTATTGCTCATATCCCCATCTTCTCCACCTTTGATGAGCACTAAGAAGAAACACTGCCTCTACTGTTCCTATTGTTTTTGCTTCAGCGTAAGGGGAGTTTATTCCTTCTTGACGCTTCGGAGACCGTAAATCTGACTAATCTGGAACCTAGAGATTCGGATGTGTTTGTAGTATTAGTGGCCAAAACATTTTACAGAAATAGGTTTCTTCAGTAACCCTGTCACTATAATGGGAAGAAATACACCAAAATCTATAATAAAAAGGAATGATTCATCCCTCAGTATCCCTGAAAATATCAAGGGGACATGCATTCATGTTACTCAAGAATCAAAACATGAGAATTCATTCCATTTAGTTCAAAGAACGTTTGATAGTGCTGTGTCTTCTTCCCTCTAAGTTCAGAAATGTCCTTACCATCTGTAATTTTTACTTATAAACATGAAGGATCAGTAAAATGGAAGAGAAATAAATTTAAGGAGGAAAAAAATCCAATCCAACTAGCAGTGGATTCCTAGGATAATGTAACATTAGGACAGGTATAGAATGACACTCTGTCGGAGGAACTGTCACATTTTGGCTAAACAGTATTTTAAGAGAAGAATAAGTCATCATTGAACGGTATGATGCAGTACCAAGGCATAAAATTTTAGCAGAATTCATTGTGTCAACCAGAAAATCCACCATGATAACAAAACTAAAGCCTTGCTGGGAAGCAGAGTTTGTGGTGCTCCTCCTTCAAGATTTATGATCCCCAAATTATTCTGTGAGAACGAATAGACACAAGTACTCAAAGCAACCCACGCCTAAAATATGAACTCCTTTTGCAGCACCAAAGTCTAACCACGTAACACTGTGGCTTCTGACACCCAAGTGAGGTTGTCTGTACTGCTTTGATGTTGCAGACTTTCACAAAGCTGTTTAGTAACAACAGAAGCCAAAAAAATCAGTTATCTGGTATTTTCTATCAATTTCTAAGTCCTAATTGTATTATCTTAATGAAGATGCAGAGAGCAATTTAAATCCAATCAAACCATGTATTTCTCGGCAGAGCAGGAAATACATCACAGCTACCACCCTCAGGAAACGTTCAATCTAAAGGGGTAAGATTTTAAAATGTATTCAGAAAATAGTTCAGAATAAAAATAAAGCAGATTCTAAAAGAGGCACTGCATGAATTACTTCATTTACATCTCACATCCAGCCTGTATAGACCTATGATGACCTTTCACAGATGATGAAATTGAGTTAGTTGAGAGATTAACTTTCTGTCCAATGTCATACAGATAGATCATTGATACTGAAACTGGGATTTCAAATGATCCTGAAGTAGACGTTCTTTTCTTTATCTCATGGTGCTTCTGACATACTATTCCTGGTGGGCTTTTTCTAAATATCAGGTCATTAAATAAACCACCAGATTTCTGCCTTTACAGGCCAAGGAACTGTCATGGAACATGGGCATGGAAGCTCTTCTCCAGAACTCCACTAACTTCGTCCTCATAGGCCTCATCACCCACCCTGCCTTCCCAGGGCTTGTCTTTGCATTAGTCTTCTCCATCTTGGTGGTGGCTATAACAGCCAATGCAGTCATGATTCTGCTCATCCATGTGGACTCCCGCCTCCACACGCCCATGTACTTCTTGCTCAGCCAGCTGTCCATCATGGATACCATCTATATCTGTGTCACCGTCCCCAGGATGCTCCAGGACCTCCTGTCCAAGGACAAGACCATTTCCTTCCTGGGCTGTGCATTCCAGATCTTCCTCTACCTGACCCTGATGGGAGGGGAGTTCTTCCTGCTGGGTCTCATGGCCTATGACCGGTATGTGGCTGTGTGCAACCCCTTACGGTACCCTCTCCTCATGAACCGCAGGATTTGCCTGTTCATGGTGGTCGGCTCCTGGGTGGGTGGTTCCTTGGATGGGTTCATGCTGACGCCTGTCACTATGACTTTCCCCTACTGTGGATCCCGAGAGATCAATCACTTTTTCTGTGAGATTCCAGCTGTGCTGAAGCTGTCCTGCATAGACACGTCACTCTACGAGACCCTGATGTACGCCTGCTGCGTGCTGATGCTGCTCATCCCTCTGTCCATCATCTCTGTCTCCTACACCCACATCCTCCTCACCGTCCACCGCATGAGCTCTGCTGAGGGCCGGCACAAAGCCTTTGCTACGTGTTCCTCTCACATGATGGTGGTGAGCCTCTTCTACGGGGCAGCCTTCTACACCAACGTGCTGCCCCACTCCTACCACACTCCAGAGAAGGACAAAGTTGTGTCGGCCTTCTACACCGTCCTCACCCCCATGCTCAACCCACTCATCTACAGCTTGAGGAATAAAGATGTGGCTGCTGCGCTGAGGAGAGTACTAGGGAGATGGGTCCCCTCCAAGAGAATCCAAGTGGCCAGTATGATCAGGAAGAACTAGTCGGGGCTGAGTACAAGCATGTGGCCACACACAGCTATTCCAGAAAATATGGTATTGGTTCTGAAGAATTTTCAGTGTCATTTTTAGCAATGCAAATATATAAACAGGCAAAATAATCCTTGTGCAAGGATTATCTAGGAACAATAGCAAGGTTGGCGAGAATCTCTGCATTAGCCAATTTGTTCTACTGGATTCACCAAGAACACTTCCAGAGGGCATTCTCAGTCAAGTAGCCCTATAAACCGTTCATGGCAAGCCCTTTGAAGTGCCCTGAACAGGTATTTTTATGTGTTACATGTGGTCATCCATCCTTCGTGTCTGTTTTGCTGGCCAACTTTTGGGTGGAAATTGCAAGGAGTGTTTTCCACCTCCTTGACGATTTAGTTTAAAACATTCAATGTTAGTAAAATATTTTCCAGTGCTAATAGTGTAGCAGTTTTATTTAGAAAACTTTTATGAAGGTGATACTATTGTATTTTTGGTTCTGTATTCTTAATTACATTTTATGAATGTTTTCATTTTATCTCTTACCTCTGAAATTATATTATAAATACTTGCCATGCTTTTATTCACATGGAGTCCAATATCTTCCTGGAAATTAATAAATATTGATTGATTGATTGAAAATTGTGCCATTAAGATTATTACATGGCCACACCCACAAAACTGCCATTTACACTTGAATAAAATAGTAATAGATAAACATAGAATGAATAAACCAAGACATGTCTTTAGCTAACTTAGTTCCCTTGGAATAAGTTGATCAGTTTTCTTTTTCTCGACATCTCCATTGATATGCTAAAGAAAAGTATTTCTTTTGTAATTAGTTGGAGTTAAGTGTGGTGCTTTGATAGATGTGCAACTTTGGTGGAATTCTAACTAAGCAAAGACCACACTGACTTTTCCACTGTCCGTTTGTTTAACTTTAGCTTCTCCTGTGTGTAAGGTCCTGATATATGACAAATAAAAAATAAATATTGATGGACCTGGTGTTTATTTTCTTTATTGATACAAGGTTTAGGAAATATCGGACAAAGTTTTGAGTGGTTACAAGTAAATACTAAGAAAAGGTTATTCAGCCTTTTGTTATTCTGGTGTCAACACAACGATAGAAGGAAAAATGTTCCTCCATTGTTGCTGATGAAGGTAAAGAATATTCCCTTCGATATACGAATCCCTACGTTGTTTTTGATCCAGAAGTTTCCTAATAATTTGATCTTTATCCTGAAATCAAACAAACAAACACATAGAAAAGAGATGGAAGAATGTCCTGGAGGGATTTATTCCTTTAAGTGCAAAAACAGACCAGGATTCATATTTGAAATATCCTCAAAGTTGTTTCAATTCAGTTCCATTCAGTTTTAATTCCTTTGCATCTCTGCACTGATGCCTCCCCCCTTCTCCATTCTCCTGCCTTAGTGAGCACCCATCCTGATCTTTCTTCCCTCTACATATCTCCTTCAATTCATGTTGCATTTTTGCTCTATCCTGGGACATTGGTGTTTTCTTTCCTGTTTCCTCACTTGCTATATTTTAAAATATAACAGGACTTTTGTTCTCGTATTTCCGAGATTAATTCTTTGCACATTTAACAAGGATCTTTAACTCTAACATTGACAGATATTTCAGTAGTGTACCTGAAAAGCAGTAAGTAAGTGAAGTGCATTTTGACAAATTTCCAGGGATGTCATGGACATTAGTGATCAGGGCATGGAAGGAGGTGACTTATTCAATGTTGTTTAAGAGTCTGTTCAACAAAGTCAGCAATGGTTCCATGAATATGTTTTTTCATGGTGGTTTATCGTTCTTTCCACTGTTGATGTGTGCACTTTTCTGTTGTAGGCTCTACTTTAATACAATTTTTAAACATTTTTAAACCTCATTTTACACTTGGCGGGTGCCCTTCCCTTCACACATAAAACTAGTTCCACCCTGAAAGGGAATGACCAGGGATTTCCCCAGTCATCTGACCAAATTCATATATAAGGTAATTTGTGGTCACCAGATTTGCTTCTTTATTAAAACAATATATTAATTTAGTAATAAAATCTATATGAGTTAATAACTTAAAAGTTAATGTTAATATTATCTGTTGTATACCTGAAACAATGCACTAATCCAGGTAATGAAGAAATAAAGAGAAGACGGTCCCTAATTTTGAAAACATATTTAACTACATTATCTAATTTTGATTCTGATCGTCACAAAATCTTATAAAGTATTTAGAGAAAGAATTCACCCCATAGGAGATAAACAAGCTGATGTTCACAGCAAATTTTTGCCCCATTCAAGCAAGAGGCAGATGGGGCTTCAGAACCATATCTTCTAACCTCTGGGCTGGTGTTTTGTGCCAAGCCATGATATTAACTGATAAACAATTTACAAATGAGAGAGGTGGCTGGGCACGGTGGCTCATGCCTGTAATCCCAGCACTTTGGGAGATCGAGGCATGTGGATCACCAGCAGTTCCAGACCAGACCAGCCAATGTGGTGAAATACTATCTCTATGACAAATACAAGAAATTAACTGGGCATGGTGGTGCATACCTATAATCCCAGCTACTTGGTAGGCTGGGGCAGGTGAATTGTTTGAACCCAGAGCAGAGGTTGCAGTGAACCAAGATCACCCCACTGCACTCCAGCCTTAGCAACAGGGCGAGACTGTCTCAAAACAAAATGGGGCACAATGGGCACCTGCCAGCTTGTTAATCCTAATAATGACCTGGGGACAAGGTCCCTTCAGAGCAACGTGCTGATAAAACCCATGTTCATTTGCTGTTGGATGCCAGTTAGGCTGGTCTAGCAAGGACCGGATGACCCAAGTTGAGGGGGAATCAGATTCCCTGTGGGATCTGTCTTCAGGTGAGGAATATGGATATAAAATTAACTGAACCCTTGCTTCTACATATTTGTTTTATTTACACAATAAATAAGCATTTATATTCATGCAATATAAAATTGTAATGGAAGAAAGCATAAAGTCTAGCAAGGACCCTAAATATGTATTTGTCTTTTCTTTATGCAAGAAACATTGGAATTATTCTCCTCTTAAGTGAAGTCCGCCACTCCCTTCTTATGTACATGACAGTGATCTTAAATCTCAAATTCCCTGAAGGCAGTAGTGCGTACAGTGCTCCCTGTTAACAGTGGTGATACTGGGCAGGGCTGGAAACATGCCTATTAAATGGGCACGATGATGTCTGCTGGGAGGTAAGTCATGCCCTCAGCAATCTCACAACAGTGAGTTTTGTGAGTCTGGCATTTGCAAGAACTTTCTTGGGGTACATTTGGTGGGTTTTTTTTTTTCATGGACCTCAATATAAATCCAGACACCTGCAGGCGGGCGTCTAATGGCTGAGAATTGCCCAGGAGTTAAGGAGAATTTTTAGTTTCTGGAAAATTGTTAACTTCATCTTGTCACTTTATTACTTTGTTGACAACTTTTAATCAGAAATTCAAATTTGTCTTGAGTGTGTTTATGGCCTTTTACCCTGTATTCATTTAACTTCTCTTTGGCTGCTTGTAAACTTAAGCGATCCTCAAAACGATATTGTGTCTTTGGAGAGCAGTTGAGAGTAGTGGCAGAGAGCAGGAAAAGCAAAAGTTGAGTCCTTGAGCTTGGATCCAGCTCCCCCACCGGGTTCTCTGAGCCTCGCCAGCTGTGAGATGGTGATAATTACAGTGGTCGGCCCCATGGAGCGCTGTGAAGGGCACAGTCAAAACACTGGCACATGTGCCTTGATTCCTGGGACCCAGTAAGCACCACGCAGGTGCTGGCCAATTTATCATTGAAACACGTGATCAATTTAGTTTAAAAACTAAGAAAATCATTTATTGGCATAGAAGTTCCCTATGGCTGTGGTACCAAATTACCACAAAGTTGATAATATCACAGTCTGGAGATCAGAAGTTGAAAATTGTTCTCACTGCGTTGAACTCACGATGTTGGGGAGGGTGCCTTCTTTTCTAGAGGCTTTAGGAGAGAATCCATTTCTTAGCCCTCTCCAGTTTCTAGAGGACACCTACATTTCTTGGCTTGGGGTCCCCTCTATTGTCAAACCCGGAGACTGACTGAATCCCTCCGACCTGTTTTCCAAGTCACGTCTCTGACTCTCCTGCCTCCTCTTTCCTTTGTAAGACCGTGGCATTTACGTTGAGTCCAGCAGCATAACTCAGAATAATCACCTCATCTCAGAATTCTTAAATTAATCATACCTGCAAAGTCTTTTTTTGCCACGTAAGAGTGCATATTCACTGGTTCCAGAGACAGCAGATAAGGACCTTTGCTGGAGGTGGAAGATTATTTTGCCCATACTTGGTTTCATTTAACACTGAACTGTCTATTACACCTGTCATTCGATGTAACAAAGTAGCGAGTTAATAATAAGCCCCTATGGCATTATTTAAGACAATTTTTCTGATAATAGAAAGCAGATGGAAATCTGCTACTGCAACAAATCATAGACAATAATTTTCTGTCTTTTTATCTGTTTAACATAAGGTGAATTCAAACTGTCTTATGAACATCTCCAATGCAATACAATCTCTGGATATATAATAACATTTGAATCTAAAGTTATCTTTAACCTTTAATTGGTACCTACTTGAATGAAGAGCTGTCATAGCAAGGACAGAATCAGAGGACAGAGGAAGTGGCGAGCCACTCCTTTTTTTGTGAATTATGCTGACATCTTAGTTACTCTATAACTAAGTGTATTTATTTTAAACCACAGAGAGTAACTGTCTCAAATTTATATATAAACCTGAATGATTTAGAAGTAAAAGTTATATTGCTGTTTGATCTTAAAAACTTGTGATTTATTTTTGTTTCTTAGAATGAAATTTCTTTTTATAAAATGTGGGTGGATCCCATTTTATGTTCATTTTATTTTGCGGTGAAGATTATCATAAGTACCTGGCATTAAAAAAATTATTTCTCTTTAACACATTTTATAAAATCAGGAGATTTTTTTGAAGGAGTTTTACTAGAGGTTTATTATATTAAAAAACGTAGAAGTGGCCGTGCGCGGTGGTTCACGCCTGTAATCCCAGCACTTTGGGAGGCCGAGGAGGGTGGATCACAAGGTCAAGAGATCGAGACCATCCTGGTCAACATGGTGAAACCCCGTCTCTACTAAAAATACAAAAAATTAGCTGGGCATGGTGGCGCGTGCCTGTAATCCCAGCTACTCAGGAGGCTGAGGCAGGAGAATTGCCTGAACCCAGGAGGCGGAGGTTGCGGTGAGCCAAGATCGCGCCATTGCACTCCAGCCTGGGTAACGAGAGCGAAACTCCGTCTGAAAAAAAAAACCAAAAACGTAGAAGTAATGTGCATTTTTTGCTGGCTGCATGTGTTTAAAAATGATTTATTCAACAAAGATTTACAACACTCCAGTCATTTCTTTAGATGGTGAGAGTGCACAGTTAACGAAATAGGCAAAAATCCTTATTTCCATGAAGCTTACTTTCTAGTGAGAAGAGGTAAACACAAAACAAAGTATAGTGTGTCAGATGGTGTTACGAAAAGAAAAGTCAAGTCATAAGTGCAGAATAGACCCCTCTGAGAAGGTGGCTTTTGAGCAACGCCCTGTAGGACAGGAGGGGATGACCTTGTGCAGAGATCCGGAGGAGCCCAGGCCAGAGAGCAGCAGAGTCAAAGGCCTGGGCTCAGGGCTCTTGCCAAGTGGGGACAGAGGACCAGCGAGGAAGCCACGGTAGCTGGAGCACAGGCGCAAACAGACTGGAGTAAGCAGATCACTTGAGAGGACAAAATGCTCAGAATGCAACGGGCCTTGAAGTGTGATCGAAAGCACAACTGCAGGGTTTGAGCGGAAGTGACCCGGTGTGAGGCAGGGCTCCCAGTGTGACTGCGGTGGCCGTGCTGAGACTAGACTGGGGGATTCACGGGAGAGAGCAGGGAGCTTGTGGAACAAGCCAGGTGAGTGTGTAATGATGGATTAAGCCAGGTGACTACTGGCATGGACATGATGAGAAATACTACACGTTTAATTGCTAGTTTGTTAATAAATAAATGTTCTATTTACTTATTTTATGAGTCAGGATCTTGCTCTGTCACCCAGGCTGGAGTGCAGTAGCACAATCATAGCTCACTGTAACCTCAGACTCCAGGCGCAAGTGACAGACATGCACCACCACACCTGGCTAATTCATTTATATTTTTATAAAGACGCATTCTGCTATGTCGCCCAGGCTCACCTCAAACTCCTGGCCTCAAGTGATCCTTCCACCTCGGCCTCCCTGAGTGCTGGGGTTACAGGCGTGAACCACCACACCTGGCCTGCATTTACCGTTTTACATTTTCTGAATAAAAATGTTTGAATTTGTTTAAATGACAAAGAGATGTACTCTGTTCTTAGTGTGAGTTAACTTTATTAGGAAGTTTTGGGATTCTAAAATAGAATGTTTCCTTTATATTTTTGAACTTTAGCAGAATATATTTTTAGACAATATTTGTGTTTCGTTATCCTTGGGAAATGGAACAGAATTTAAAGGATCAGGAGTGGATCAGGAGGCTGAGACTCACTGACATAGAGTTAGAGTTCTGACCACAGAGTATTTCTGGGAGGCCTGACAAAGGAGGCCACAGCCTTGAGCTACCTTCACAGTAATCTGAACATGTAAATCAGAGGGAAATCGGGAGTCAGCCAATTTAGTTTTGATGTTAATATATAACGTATTTGTATTAGTCTATTAATTAGTTTGTACTGATTCTATTGGTCACATTTTAATGTCATTACAATTCTGATACCTTTGGGAAACCAGGTATGACTTCAGCATGGTAAAGGACAACCAGCTAAGTTTAGAATTTCAGATAAACAATGAACCCTCTTTTTTGGTATAAGTATCTTACAAACTTATACTAAAACACATTTTTTGACTATCTGAAAGTCAAATATAGCTGAGGATCCTGTATTTTTATTTGCTAAATCCGGCAACACTGGATAGCGGGGCCAAGATGTCTAGCAACATGTGAATGAGGGAAAAACAAATTAGTTCTTAAAAATCCTGCAGTGTGCATCTGGGCTTGATTGGACTTTCATTTTTACAGACACAAATGTTTGAGACTCAAGCCACTGAGACCTGCCATCCGGGGGACGGGGTGGCAGGAAGAGGGTGCTGCTTTACTACACGTATGGCTCTTTTCCTTTTTGTTTTTTAACATTTAAATCTTTCTGCCACCTGATATAATTTAAAGATAAAAACCCTTCTTAAACTGTGGTCCGTTGCTGTCACATCCCTATATATCTGGTCCATCGCTTTCTGCGCCTGAGTTAAGCCCTGGTCTCAGTTCAGGTAAACGCTGGCAGACATGTGGCTTGGCTAACCTCGCTCCCGCCTGTCTCCTGCCGACATAGCTTTAACCTGCCAACATTTTACTCTTAACTTCCCTTCCTGTTTCCCAAACCGACAGCAGCCATGGGGAGCCATGCAGGGAATCAGGTTAGTGTCATCAACTGCTTTTTAAAGATTTAATTCTGGAAGCTATTTACAAATGACTTAGAAGGTAAAAAACTACGTGAAGAAAGATCTACTAAAAGGTTTGCAGAACAGTGCAAGGAACAGTGAGGAGGCCCAATTTTAGGCATAAACAGTGGAATACTAGGCATGGAAGACTTGGAAGAGCAGGGAGCTGACACGGGCTGAGGGGTGAGACATCAGCATGTTCACAGTCTACGCTGTTTGAATTGTGTTTACGGTAAAAGTCAAGACTCCACTGCCGTGCAACACATCCAGGTAATGACACTGTACACGTAGCCCTTAAACTTATGCAGTTAATTTTAAAAAGAAAGAACAAGAAATAATTAGAAGAACAGAGACATAGGGAACATTTTATTCATGAAGCCCCAAAAGTTATCCTAAGCCTTCATTTCCTCCGTTTTTTGCTTCACTTGCCTTTATCCATTCAGTCAGTCAATGAATCCATCATCCCTTTTTTTCCAACTAGTATTTACTTAACCCTACTATGGGTTAGATAACTTTCTGGGTACAAGAAAAGCAACATGGACAGACATACATGGTTAAAACCCCATTCTTGGTTATAGTATGCAGCAATTTTATCATGCAGTTACCATAACCTGCAGCAGCATGAACACAGACACAATGAAGAGCTGTTCTCTGACAAAGAGAAACACGGCCGTAGTGTCTGCTTTGCGGTGCGCATGTCAGTCTGCTTGTTCTTCCCCAGCCTCTACTCTGGAAAACTTCCTCCTGGCCAGCACCCTCCAAAGGGTCATCTCCACTGCAGACTCTTCCCTTCTTGAATGTTCTCCTGCTTCCCGCCTGGTGCTGTGTCTTCCTCTCCGCGGAACTGTCACAGGCAATGTCAATGCAGAACACCACGTCATCCTCTGACTTCATCCTCCTGGGGCTTCTGGTGAACAGTGAGGCTGTGGGGGTTGTGTTCACAGTGATCTTGGCTGTTTTTGTAGTGGCTGTCACTGCAAATTTGGTCATGACATTCTTGATCCAGGTGGACTCTCGCCTCCACACCCCCATGTACTTTCTGCTCAGTCAACTGTCCATCATGGACATACTTTTCATCTGTACCACTGTCCCCAAACTCCTGGCAGACATGACTTCTAAAGAGAAAACCATTTCCTCTGTGGCCTGTGGCATCCAGATCTTCCTCTACTTGACCATGATTGGTTCTGAGTTCTTCCTACTGGGCCTCATGGCCTATGACCGCTACGTGGCTGTCTGCAACCCCCTGAGATACCCAGTCCTGATGGACCGCAAGCTGTGTGTGTTGCTGGCGGCTGGCGCCTGGCTTGGCGGCTCCCTGGATGGCTTTCTGCTCACTGCCATCACCATGAATGTCCCTTACTGTGGCTCCCGTAGTATCAACCATTTCTTCTGTGAGATCCCCGCAGTTCTCAGACTGGCCTGTGCTGACACGTCGTTGTATGAGACTCTGATGTACACCTGCTGTGTCCTCATGCTGCTCATCCCCATCTCCATCATCTCCACCTCCTACTCCCTCATCTTGTTCACCGTCCACCGCATGCGCTCAGCCGAAGGTCGCAGAAAGGCCTTCGCCACTTGCTCCTCGCACTTGACTGTGGTGAGCGTTTTCTACGGAGCTGCCTTCTACACATACGTGCTGCCGCAGTCATTCCACACCCCCGAGCAGGACCAAGTGGTGTCAGCCTTCTACACCATTGTCACACCTATGCTCAACCCCCTCATCTATAGCCTCAGAAACAAGGATGTCATAGGGGCATTCACAAAGGTATTTGCATGTTGCTCATCAGCTCAGAAAGTAGCAACAGGTGATGCGTAGAGATTCATTGCCAAGAGAATGGGGCTTCCTAAGAACTGCCTCCATTTGCCCTGTGTCACTAGAGATTATTTGGTCAGCTCTCAACGTATACTTACTATTGGCAATTAAGATGATTCACCCTGTCTGGATTCTTGCTCCTAAGGGGAGCAAGGGAAAGATATTTTACTGATATGTAGGGACCTTTCAGTGAAGGATGAACTCATTTATTATTAAGTTAAATAATTTATATGTGCTTGTTTATTTTCTCTAGGGAAGAAAAACTCCAAATATTAGAGTTCTCAGCAACTTTCACTCTGAACTAGATCTCCTTCACAATATTTGTTCATGTTTAAACAGTACAAAATGAGAAAAAAAATCTACAAAAGCTATCAAATATTTAGTCAAAAATTCTGTGATTAGTTTTGTAGGAATAGAGTAAAAGAATGCCAATGCACAAGCAGCAAAGAAGATAAAGCACACACTTTAGTCCTGTTTTTTATTATAGTATTAACCCCATGTAACTGTAAGATTGTTGGGAGAAGCAGCAAAGGAGAAAGGACTGTCACAGTGCCTACATAAATCGGTTGTGAGTAACATACAAACTGGGAACAACAAACAGCAGCAAACTGCAGGAGGCCTCTGGGGAGGCAAACTTCCCCGCGCCTGATGTTGTGGTGCAGGGTGACCTCAGCTCTGTCACCATAAACATTGTACTCAAGGACATAAAACCCCTTCGTAGCACTATGATGTGGCCAGGCTTGCAGGCTCCTTGTAAGGCCTGCATTCCATCAGCTGTACATAGATAATAAGCTAAAGATAAACACATGTTCTTGTTTTGCTAAACTCCCAAACTGCCACTGTTATCAGTCTTTAGAATGACTCACCAGTTCCGGCTCACTGATTCACCTCACCATCACATCACCCTCTCCCCACCATTGCTCCACCCCTACCCTGTAGATCAAAGTGATTGTAACCAATAAATACTGTGGGAGATCAGTGCTTGGGGCCTTCACTGCCTCCAGTAAAAAGTGATGGTCACATGGTCCCTTTCACTCTTAATCTGTCTTTTTCTCATTCCTTTGTCACCACCAAACTCAGGGTACCCACTGGTGGGATGTGGGGCTGGTTCCCTACAGGTCTAATATTATCTTTGAATCTCTTACACTCTTGAGTACAGTTGTCAAATATTAGGCCATAATAAATGGTGGGTGAATTGAACAGAACAGTATAAATGGGTTGAGTTTCAAGCATTACGAAACTACTCACAGGGAATACATTCTAAATACTTAGCATCAAAGAACACTCCTGTGCCACTCTCAGGACACTAGGTTTGTAAACAGGACACTAGATTCATTAACATCCATGGCCAGGAACTTCTATTTTCCAAGTTCTGTGAGATTCAACAACACTTAAGGCATTTTGAATTTGGTTGAGTGGGGTGGGAAGTCCTTGAAGAGTTTTCCATGTGGGTGTTACATGATAACATGCATTCCTATACACCAATAACAAGCATTCCTATACACCAACAACAAGCATTCCTATACACCAATAAGAGACAGAGAGCCAAATCATATGTGAACTCCCATTCACAACTGCCACAAAGGAATAAAATTCTTAAGAATACAACTAACAGAGGATGTAAAGGACCTCTTCAAGGAGAACTACGAATCGCTGCTCAGGGAAATAAGAGAGGACACAAACAGATGGAAAAACATTCCACGCTCATGGTTAGGAATAATCAATATCATGAAAATGGACATACTACCTAAAGTAATTTATAGAATCAGTGCTATCCCCATCAAGCTATCATTGACCTTCTTCACAGAACTGGAAAAAAAACCACCTTAAACTTCATATGGAACCAAAAAAGAGCTTGCATAGCCAAGACAATCCTAAGCAAAAAGAACAAAGCTGGAAGTATCACACTATATGAGTTCAAACTAAACTACAAGGCCACAGTAATCAAAACAGCATGGTACTGGTACCAAAACAGAGATATCAACCAATGGAACAGAGCAGAGGCCTCGGAGACAACACAACACATCTACAACCACCTGATCTTTGAAAACCTGACAAAAACAAGCAATGGGGAAAGGATTTGCTGTTTAATAAATGGTGTTGGGAAAACTGGCTAGCCATGTGCAGAAAGCTGAAACTGGACCCCTTCCTTACACCTTATACAAAAATTAACTCCAGATGCATTAAAGATTTAAATATGAGGCCTAACACCATAAAAAACTCTAGAAGAAAGCCTAGGCAATACCATTCGGTACATAGGCATAGGCGAAGACTTCATGACTAAAATACCAAAAGCAATGGTAACAAAAGCCAAAATAGACAATGGGATCTAATTAAACTCCAGAGCTTCTGCACAGCAAAAGAAACAATCGTTAGGGTGAACTGGCAACCAACAGAATGGGAAAAAAATTTTTCAAGCTACCCATCTGACAAAGGACTAATATCCAGAATCTACAGAGAACTAAAACAAATTTACAAGAATAAAACAACCCCATCAAAAAGTGGCTGAAGGATGTGAACAAATACTTTTCAAAAGAAGACATTCATGTGGCCAAAAAACATATGAAAATGTGCTCATCAGTGGTCATTAGAAAAATGCAAATTAAAACCACATTGAGATACCATCTTACACCAGTTAGAAAAGTGATCATTAAAAAATCTGGAAACAACAAATGCTGGAGAAGATGTGGAGAAATAGGAACACTTTTACACTGTTGGTGGGAGTGTCAATTAGTTCAAGCATTGTTTGGTGGGAGTGTAAATTAGTTCAAGCATTGTGGAAGACAGTGTGGTGATTCCTCAAGGATCTAGGAATAGAAATAACATTTGACCCAGCAATGGAATTGCTGGGTATATACTCAAAGGATTATAAATCATTCTATTATAAAGACACATGCACACGTATGTTCATTGTGGCACTGTTTACAATAGCAAAGACTTGGAACCACCCCAAATGCCCATCAGTGATAGACTGGACAAAGAAAACGTGGCACATACACACCATGGAATAAATGCATCTATTTAAAAAAAGGATGAGTTCATGTCCTTTGCAGGGACACGGGTGAATCTGGAAACCATCCTTTTCAGCAAACTGACACAAGAACAGTTTGCATGTTCTCACTCATAGGTGGGTGTTGAAAAATGAGAACACATGGACACAGGGAGGGGAACATTACACACTGGGGTCTGTTGGGAATAGGAAGCTAGGGGAGGGGTAGCTGGCGGGGGGAGATTGGGGACATTGGGAGAAATGCCTAATGTAGGTGAAACTATATAAAATACAGTTTTTTATATTTTTATATAGAAACTAAACATAGAAAATATATTTTATATAGTTTCTATATTTTATGCCAAACATAGTTGTGCATAAGAAACTATTATGTAGTCTCTTATGCACAACTATGTTTGGCATAAATAAAAAAAATTAGAAATAATACAAATATCTAGTCGTTTTACATCTATGTACACTGAAATACAAACATAATTTTGTTTAAGATGTGGTCATAATATTTTCAAAGACAAATGAAATGGATACAAAATTGCATAAAGAAAATCATATTAATTATATTAACTATATGAAAATGGCTAAAAAAAGGAAAATCCAAACTGTTTATTTAGTTATCTTCAGCATTCTGAAGTATGTAGCGTTACTTCTCCTTTTTATAATAATATTTAGTTTTAAAATTTCTACAGTGATCAGTCACTACTAAGAAAACCAGGAAACATATATAGAAGAATATACCCTATTAAATGTGTTATCAATGGTCTAATTTGGGTTTGTGTCACTCTTTTCCCTCATGGCAGGATGATGCAATGATTTGACCGGTGAGAGAAGTGGTCTTCAAGAAAACGTTCTGGTGAAGTCTGTATGCTATTAAGTAGATACTTATTGTCTTTTGGAGGGTTATAGGAGTTAGGCAGTTAGAAAAGTCTACAGAATCAGGTCCTATAATTCAACAAAGGCTAAAGAGAGACTCCTCCAGCACTGCTCTCAGGGGGGCCACCACAGCCCTGTGAGGGGTCCCTGCGGAGAGCATCATTCTTCAAGTTTGTGGTCACAAGACCACACATGTTAGCATCAGCTGCTCTTCAGGGAGAGCCCTCAAGTTCATATCAACTTCATCAGTGCTGCACTGTTTGCAATTCTTTCACAGAAAAGAAGGCTGAGGTTTCACTGATCATAGAGCAGATTGATCGAAATGAAAATGACGAGGCTTTCGTTCATCAAGACGACTATACTGGAAGCAACTTACTGGAAATAAAATTCCTCAGGGTATGATATTTCTTCCTTTGGTTCACTAAGAAACAAATATTTATCAAATATTAAATTAAAAATGTATTAAATATACTATTTTATTAATATTTAATAATTAATAATCCATAAATATATGCATTACTATAGAATTATATATCAATTGATATAATTATTAATTACCTATATAACATAGTTAATACATAATATTTAATACAGCTAATATAACATTAATTAGTAAAATATTATACTAATATATAATTACATATTATATATTAATCATTATAGATCACATAAAATAACTAGCATTTACTATAAACGTATTTAAGCTAATAATACACACAAATCTATAATTTAGAAAGTACTTGCTGTGCATATTAGCATATCTGAACCTCTTGGCAATCCTATTATTTAGACTGTAGAAATAAATAGCGTATATCCCTACAGGTATATACGGAAAAAAAATACTCAAAAGTTTTAGGTGACTTGCAACATTCCTCAGAAAATAAGAGAGCTAAATCCAAAAATAATTGATTTCAGATCTTGAGGCTTTTCTTCCTGGTGGTATTTTTTTTTCCAGGCAAATCTGACCTAATTTTTTTTTCTCCAAAAATCAAAGCAATGTTGAATATTACAGTTTTCTTTACCTCTCTTCCTTCCAACCTCCTTTCCTTCTTCCTTTTTTGCCTTTATTTTTAAAAACTGGTCTCCCAGACCATAAATGAGGAACATGTGGATGAGTGAGAGATGGTTGATAGAGGTTTAAGCCTCATGGTGAGCAACATAATTCTACTTCCTTGGT